CCATACCTACTCTCGTGGTTATGAAATTAACAAGAAGCTCATTTCTTCTATGAAATTACATGAACAAGTCACTAAAGCCATATAGGTGCACCTCTACTCTCGTGAGTGTACTCCCTAGGTTTATCACTTCCTTAAACTAATGTTAAATTCCAATTCTCATTACAAACTTAACACTTTTAGATAATCACAATTAATGGTCTGTTAATCATGATTAGAAAAGCAAAAGTGATAAATAACTTGATCAAAATAATATCATCAAATAACCAAGTAAACTTCACTAACAAGATATAGCAAGTTCAACCATAACTCCAGGCATAAACTTTAACTAAACATGAATCAAACACCAAACTTGTATTATAGTTAAATATGAAATCAAATACAAAAGAGAAAGTGATAAGAGAGAAGTCACCCTTGTCACATGATATTCAAACTCTCCATCTTTGCTCTTCAAATCTTCATCCAAATCAAACTAAAAATACAAGAAGGAAAAACTACACTAACTACTCTATACTACCCTAACTAATGAACTAAGGAAATTCTAGTGAAAACTACATTTTTGGTGAGTTTCTCTAGCCTTCCAAAGTTTTTTTTTTCAAATGTTCTCCAAAGGCCTCTATTTATAGAGGATTCAAGAGTCAAATGAGTTGTTAAAGTTGTCATTTTTTACTCTAGAAACTCTCTAAGATTACTTCTCAAAGTTTCCATACTCATCTGATCATTTCCAGCCGGAATCTTTGCAAAAAAAGTGGTCAAAAAGGTTGTGTGAAAAGAGCACAAATTGCAGAGCAAGTTGCAGCTGAAATCTACTAAAACGCGGGCATAAAATACGGCTTGTGCCCCCGTTTTGCTCTTTTTGTAGGTTTGCTAATTCTGGTCAGATTTCATTCTTGCTCTGTTTTCTGTCCAAATTCTACTGATATTTTCTCGATGATGGAGGCCGAACTAGCTCTTTTGCAAAACACAAAAGTCGTAGCCCTTTGAGTTAGCTTTCCAATTCATCGAGAATCATCCAACTTGGAGTTCTGTGGACTACGAAATAACCAAAATACCACGATTGGTCAATCCCTTGTTTCAGCTTTTCACCCTGAAATTGCACTTCTGTATTTCGACTTTTTGACTAGGAAAATGACTGCACTGTGTGAGGACGCGAAAGTTTCCTTATTTTATATTATTTTATTTTATTTCTTCGAATATATTTTCTATACTTTACTTTATTTTCTTAATTTTCTAGATATTTTTATAAGTGAGTCAAGTTTTTAAATCATTTTTTTTGTATAAGTTAGTTCATACTAAGTTCGAAATGCATTATGGAAGTGGGACCCGCTAATGCAGTAAGTGCGATAAATTTTTGAAGATTAGTAGGAGTTTTGCATAAAGGGATATTATTTTATAAGGTGCTAAGGGATAATTAGAAGTTAGCTAGATAGTTTAGCCTATGGAAAACAACAAGATGAGGATTAATCTTGGTTAATCATTTGTCACAAAGGTCTTGGACCTTTGACTTTGACTAAAGACTTTCTTACCTCTTTAATTAACCAAAAATTGACAAAAAAAATCCTATCACTTTCCCCTCTTTTGGCCGAACCATTGAGAGAAAAAAAGGGAAGGAAACTTCATCTTCAACCTCAAATTTCTTGCTTGAATCTTGATTTTAACCATTAGTCTTGCAAAATACTCCATAAAAAGTGATATCCAAGGAAGATCAAAGGCTTTAGCGGAGAGATTTTTGGGACAGAAGTACTTGGTTTCCATTTTCTTGGGATTTCAAGGTAACTATGGTAAAAAACTTCTTTTTACTTCTAATACTTGCATACTAGTGGTTTTAGAGTTGAATTTTGATAGTTTTCATGAGAAATTTCATGGTTTGAAGTGGTGATTTGAAATTTTCAGCTTTTATGGTGAAATTTCAGCCTTTATATGATGCTTGAGCTTGGCCATGATTTGGTAGCTTTGCCATGTGGATTATCTGGCTTTTATATGTTAGTTTGGCTTGCTTGAGGAAAATTCCAGCTTGTATTTGAAATTTTCAGCTTAGGGTTTCAAAAAATTCAGCTTTGATGTGGTTGATATTTGAGCTATGAATTGGCTATTTGGGGATGGTTTGTGGCCTTAATCAAGTGTATTTTATAGCTTATGACTTGTGGTTGCGATTGAGGTGGAATTGAAATGAAATTTGGTGTTGATTTTGGATGGAAAAGTAAAGAAACAAGGGGAAATGCTGCTGAAATTTTTACTACTTCCTTTCTTGTGAAATAAGTGAGATAAGAGGGATGATTTTGGGATGGTTTGGACTTAAGTTACATGTGATTTATTGCATGCACTTTGGTGATAGCGTATAAGCTGAAATTTTGATGAAATCAAGTGAAAAGTAAGAGGAAAAGTTATGATTCGTTCTAGTATGCTTTCTAGTTGCATTTGTTTCACTTTAACCTCGAGGTTGGTTGTCTTCTTAGCTATTTTGTTAACGGCAATTCCAACCATGAATTGAAATGAAGGACTCTTTGGTTATTCATGTTCTTAGGTCCAAATGTTTCCTTTTCACTCCAAAATCACATTTTGCATCTTTGCACTAGTAGCTAACTTGGATAGGCAAACGACTCTCATAGTCGAGCCTAAATTCTGAATTCCGTTCACTTGACTTTGGATGTGGGGTCTATAATTATTTTATTTTGGTTGTCTTAGGGTTTGTCGGTGATCAAGGGCACAATTCGAGAGGAAACTTTTGACGTTGTTTTTGCTTGAACTGGTGAATGTACCACTTGCATGACTTGTTGCTTAACTGATTTACTTATACTTGAAATTTATGACTTGAATAACTGTGACTTTCATTTATTCTGGACAAGACGAGAGTGTACTTTATCACACTCATTTCTCTTGACTATTTGACTGGTTTACTGTGCAAATTTGGATCTATTACTTGTGCATGAGTTGATGTCGTTTGGAGGCCAGTATCCAACGACCTTACTGTGAGATTTGAGCTCAAACCTCATTGGTAGTCAATCGAATCGAGCCAGCCAGGACTTGGTCGAGGTAGAATGACGAACCATGAGGAAACTGTTACTAATTCACTGAATACTTCTGATATCTGGTATACTTGAGTATTACTACCACTATTCTTGTTTGGTGTTCGGGCCAGGTAAGGGGTATGTTTGGTGGACGGAAATTACTGTAAAGTGAGGATCTACGGCCATGGTTTTGTTTCTATAATCGTTGACGGAGTGTCAACGGGTTTGGATCAAGTAATGCAACGGGAAATTTGGCTCTTGAGAGCCATCTATATCTTTTTACCTGAACTACTTCGTTTAAACTGTGGTGTTTACTTATATCTATATTTGATGCTTATATTTGATAGATTAAAATCGCAATTGTGTGATTCTTGATTACGTGACCTTTTTGGTACCTCATTGGGCGAAAGTTCACCCTGTTACCTTTGTTTTCCTTACAGGGGGTGAAATTTTTGGAGCGTGAATTTTGGGGAAAGAGTTGAGCTAGTTATAGTTTGTTTTGGTTTGGGCTCCTCTGTATTAGTAAACCTTATATGTATTTGTATTAGTTTGGATGCTCTGACTTATAATTTAAGTTGAATCTTTAGAGATTCCATTGTACATAGTATGGATTGATTAATCGAAGTTAAATTGCGCGTTTTAGTATGGTAAATGTGAATTTTGGCTTAGTAGTCCTGACGAGAGTTGGGCAGACAGTCCACTAACCTTTGGGGTACGCCCTAAGGGAAGGTGGGGCTGTCACACACTGGATTTCGATGTCTTCATACCAAATATAGATCTATCTCTTAGTTTCAAAATGGTATAAGAATCACCTCAATCCGATCATTGTATCTCAAGATATAGCCAAAATATGAAAATGTGTCAAAACTGTAAAACTTGCTTTTCTTTTGTTCTTGATTCCATTTCCTCTTTTGCACTTCATATCTTCTTTAAACTACTTCAAATCATCAATAATCATCCAATAATCTTCTCAATGCACTCCATTTGATGATTGAATTCTTAAACCTACAAAAACATGAAGTTTTCACCATAAAAATCCATAGAAATGCATTTTTACCGCTTAAACCATAAAATATATATTTTCACTAGAAACCTATTTAATTAGCTATAAAAGTAGTTAAAACACACCAAAACTAACTAATAAAGCACACTTAAAACACGTAAAATATCTACTTATCACTACATCTCTTTCCATTAATATAATTATAACCCTATATTCCGGAAATATCAGCAACAATAGCAGTTTTACTACATGTTCTAATGCACTTACTGCAGTTTTCATTTACTAAAGACAACTTTATCTTATTAGTATGTACTTCTAATTACTTGTAACTAGGCTTATCTCATGCTCAGTAACTTTTAGTGATGTTTAAGTATGCTGTTAATTAGCTGATTATTCAATGATATTTTTTTTGTATATGATTGGTGCTGATAACATAAACAGTTATGTTACCCCTATAAATAACTGTTCATATTACTAATAGAGAGTTTTAAAAGTGACGTGTATTCTTTATAAACTTTGCTGCAAGAACCTGGATATCTAGTCATTTAACTAGCTGTTAGTATCCATCGTTGTTTCATGTATTGTTGATAAATTTCATTCAATTACACTTACACCCCTTGAATTTTGCTAATTCTAAATAGCTTTTCATATTTTGTCATTTCTCTGTTAATACAACTTGGCAAGTAGCATGAAGAGCAAATCTGGTACAAATTTCTCAACTCACTCCTTAAAAAAAAATTTTAATGGTAACTTTTCTGGCATGGACTGAATCTGCAACACAAACCTTAAGTTCAAGGGTGGTAAGTGCTATTTTCTAAATTATAAGGGCGGTGAGTGATGGTGTCAGAAACCTCAGGGAGGTTTCTGCAATTATCCCTTTTTTATATTATTAATAAAATTTAAGGTTTGACGGTCCTTCCCGTACACGGTTTGCCAATTAAAGAAATAGATTGTTGCTCCAAATGAAAAACCTACAAGAATCTTCCTAAAACCATCTGTTACCCCCTATTTCCCCCTTCCATTCCCCCTCAATCGACTCAAGTCGTTATTACACAAACAAACAAGCAAGCACACAACTTAAATGGCTTCCAACGACCAAAACCATCCCAGAGCCACGCAAGTTTTTTCATCATTATCCACAAAAAAAAAAAAAGACACACACACACACAATCATTCGGCTACTTTCCTCCTTTGATGTAATTCATTATCCAAGCCACCTTCGAAAATGGAGCTGACCGTTTCCACAAACCATCCTAACAACAATTTCCTTTCTCCGAGGTGGAATTCCAATCCAATCCGACAAACAATCAACAAAAGTCTCCACTTTTCTCAGCCGATTCAGAAGAAGCTCCGCCGCCGGATATCAAATTTGGCGGCGGCGAATAACACAGGCTATAGAACTGGTAGTAATAGCAAAAGTGATAAAATCAACAATAATACTTTGGCAACAACAAGAACTTCGTCGGCGGAGACCGAGACGGTTGCAATGGCTGCCGGAAATGGAAAGCCTAGTAGTGCTGGTAACGGGAATACGGCCTTGGAGCAGCTTGATTTTGAGCGCGGCGTTTGCATTCCGTTTCGCAAGTACTCTCCCCAAACAGTACGAAGATTTACTTTGTATTGTTGATTTTTATTTGTTCCGGTTTTCTGGAAATTGGAGTGTACTTTTGATAACCATTTTCAATGCTTGGAATATGCGCAAATTCACACTATGTAGTTTTGTTTTTCTTTTAATTTGGTTTCATATCTTGTGGAAATTAATGAAAGAACGTACTACTTGATAATGGATAGCTCAGGATAACACCTTTTTCAATACCATCAAAGAGTATCATTGTCAGTAATTTTCTCTGTTTTGGTTTTCGTGGGTTTTTGTTTGATTTTTTTTTTACTGTAGTTTATTACCATCAGTCAACCGTTTTAAGATTAGTATTGGATTTCTAGCTTATTGCAAGTTTCTAGCGGTAAATATGGTGTGAATCATGCTTTTATAGTTGCCGGCTTCTTCTGTTTAATATACTGGTCGTATGTATTAATTTCGCCTATGATCCTGGTCTGCGATGTAATGGTTGTGTGGTCGTTCAGGTGAGGGATAAGGTATTGGAGTCAAGAGGCGCAATATTGTCACTCATTGGTCGCGGGGTGGAGATAGTATGGAAGTTAGGCCTTTATTGGTCTACATTAGTGTATGATTATTTCGTTGGTCGTGATGAAGAAGTGGTTCCATTTCGCGCCAGCCAGCTAAGAAATCTTCTCTGTGATCTCGGACCTTCTTTTATCAAAGCTGGACAGGTTTGTTGTGCTTTATTTTAATAGATGATTTACTTGCTTTCTTATGCCTGCAGAGTTCTTGGTGTATTCATCCTGCATGAGTCGGGGATTACTTGCTTAAACTGCTCATATAATCTGGTATTTCTTTTTCTCTAGATCAGCTGGTCAATATAAGCAGAAAATATGAATTGAGAAAAATGAGAGAATTCCTAGATATTATTGATCTCTTATTTGTCAAAGTTCAAAAATGTGAAAGTGAACTCATCTTGATAAGTAGTGGCAAAGGACTTTTTGAAGTCTGAGCTCATCTTGATCAAGTTTTGTATGTTCCTGATTTTTAGAAGGACGAAGTAGATGGAAACTAATGAAAGGCTGCACTTGGAGTGGATAATTGATGGTACTTTACTAAATGAAATGCTTATGTTGCTTTGGACTGTTGAATGTTGCGTCTTGTTTGTCACTATAGTTACCAGCAAGCTAAACATAATCTTCTATTGACATTTTGCTGGGGAACGTGAGAGATGTATTTATTTTTTCTCTCATCTTGTATGTTGTTGCTTGAAAGATAATCTTGGATGAAGTTAAAAGGAGTAGATTGTAACCACCACATGCATGGAGACATCAGGAGAGAAAAGAAAAGAAGGAATTTGCTTTAACTTTCTTTTCTGTGTTTGAGAGTTTTGAGGACGAAAAGAGAAAAGATTTAATTCTTTGTTTGATGGACAAAATGGCATTGCCAAAATTTTAACTTTACAAAACCAACCTCTCTTCATTTCTTCCACTTGTGGGAAGAAAAGGAAGGAAAGAAACAGAGAGCAGTTAGTGGGAAGAAATAGAGAGTAGTCACACTTTCTCCCCAATCTACTATTTTCTCTTCTTTTTTTCTCCAATTTAAACTCATTAATGAGAGAGTACTCAAATTTTTTCCCCAATCTTCTATTTCTCTCCCTTTCCTCCCGCCGAAATGAAGGGTTTAAGAAACCATCATTAGTTGTTAATTTCATTCATTGTTTTTGGGTACCAGCACACATCACATGACCCTTAGCCTGATTCAAAGGTTAAACTAGCCATACTCAATCTGTTTTTCTTTTTGACTGTTGCCAATGGTATAAATCTTGTAGTTAAATTTTTATTCAGGTGGCTTAGAATATATAAGACGGCTGGTGTTATGTTTTATTGTTTTCCCACTCTTTTGGCTTCAGATGAATGGATGAGAATAACACGTTAGATTTCAGGATTTGTCGTGTTTGGATTTTAACACGTTTTAAATTTGGCCTCAAAGAATACGGCATAAGCTATGTGATTGATGGATTTCTGACTGCTTTGAGTTTGAGACGCACTTGCATTGAATATTTGAGATTTTTGCTATTCAAGTTGTAACACTGAATTATTATTCTGGAATGAAATGCAACCTTCATTTATTTGTCCAATGTATTTTTAGTTGATATTCTTTGTTTATCTATATTCAAACAGGTCCTTGCAAACAGGCCTGATATAATTCGAGAAGATTACATGAATGAACTTTGCATTCTTCAAGATGATGTTCCTCCTTTTCCCGACCAGGTATGTGCTTTGTGATTTCTTCCCGTACTTGGTGAATTTGGAACAATCCTTTTTCTTTGAGCTGCATGTCATTGAAAATGATTTAGGTTGCTTTTAACATCATAGAAGAGGAATTAGGTCAACCTCTTGAAGCTGTTTTCAGCAAAATTTCATCAGAGACTATAGCAGCAGCTAGTTTGGGTCAGGTTTACCGAGCTACTTTGTGTGCCTCCGGAGAGGATGTTGCAATTAAGGTTCTCTGATATTCCTCCTGATTCTTGAAATTTATCTATGTTCTTACATCTTTCAGTTTCTCTTTTGGTTTACATTAGACATGCCAGCTTTTAGTTTTATCTGATAGCATGAAACTTGTTCCAACTCCATTTTGAGAGGCTGTGCTTGTAGGTTTTCTTATTACTTACTCTGACATATGATTTCTTATAAGACGGTAGCTGAGATTGATCCATTTTTTATTTTTGGTCATCCTCCCATTGGTGGTAGTGTTGAAGTTCTTAATCGTATTAACAGTTATTAGTCCAGAGTGTAAGATATGATCACATGCTGGAAAAGTTCAGAAGTTACCAATAGTGACCGTCATTGTATACTGATTGTGTATACATATGCTTGTTGATGTTTATTTCACACTTTATAATTGGATTTGGCAGTAGCTTGTTTAGATTTGATTGTTTTTCTCATTTTCTGATTTCTTAAAATTAGCTCATGTTCTACAATCCTCATGAATCAGTTTGTTGAATGTATCTTTTTGTTTATTCTTAAGTGGTTTTTATATGTCCTTTGCCAATTTAGCATGCCGTCTTTACCTTTTCTTATTGTCATGTATTTGTAGTACATGATGTCTTGCTTTCCCCACTTGATGCTTTACGGTTGACTTGTGCACCTTGTACTGATGTGATTGAAGATGAAATTGCCCAATACCTGCAGTTAGGACGGCAGTCTAATGGTATGTCATTACTGTTCTTGTAGGTGCAAAGACCTGAGATAGAGCCTATTATATATCGAGATCTTTTCCTTTTCCGGACCCTGGCATCATTCTTGAATGGCATCAGTTTACAAAAGCTGGGTTGCAATGCAGAGCTTATAGTTGATGAATTTGGCGAGAAGCTTCTGGAGGAGCTTGATTACACTTTGGTATTTTTGCAGAACTCTCTCGGCTTGACACCAAAAAATAAGAAGAATATGGCTTTTAGATAGAATAAAAGCATTGTATATTTGATGATTTTAGGCATTGGGAGGTTAATATTTTCTAGAGGTGTAAAATGGTTACAATCTTCTTCTACAACTTTTACCTCCCTTCACGATATTTAAGACATTGTCCACCACACTTTGCCCCCAGGAAAAACCAATAAAAAAAAAAGAACAAGAAAGATAAAACAAAGAAAAGAAGTGACGTGATGAAAGATTTGTGAGACTTGCAGACTTGGGATGTAACAAATTGCACTTGAAGTAGCAGTGTTTTTCATGTGAAACTAACGGTAGAAGCTAAAGTAAATTTTGCATAAATCGTTGCATTTTACTGTTCAAAGTTTTGTTTGCTTTTCAACTTGTCTTCCTGGTGTGGACTTCATAGTTTTTAGATTAGTCTTGTGTTTCAATTTCGCAACCATTACAAAACTAGTCTTATTTGTTTAGGTTGTCCATTAAGTTAGTGAATTAAGTTATCTATGGATACAGAGATGAATGAAATTTTCATTAAGCACCTTAACAAATAGACATGACATGCGAAATTCTTCTGACATATTTCATCCTTAGTTTTTTTTTTTATTTTAATCATTGCTCTTTTGATTTGGAGCTTAAAAAAGAGTACTTAATGAACAAAAAGAAGAACTGAATTGTTCTATCATATCTTTTGTTCTGGACTCTGTACAACATTTATACAAATGGAATTTGACTTTTGTCAATTCCATGAAATCTGTAATTTCCTAAAAATTAGGAGCTAATTTATTCTATCCTAAAATACATTAGGAGTAAATTATTCTATCCTAAAATACATTAGGAGTAAATTATTCTATCCTAAAATAGAGCAGAAATCATGGGATATAGCAGAAATCATGGGATATACATAGAAAAAGATTTTCTAGATTTTCAACACTCCCCCTCAAGATGGTGAATAGATATTTTCCATTCCCATCTTGCATGTAATGTCTTCAAAGTTGGAAGTTGGCATTCCCTTAGTTAAGACATCTGCCAATTGATTATTTGATGCTACATATGGAGTGCAAATCATGCCACTGTCCAGCTTTTCTTTAATAAAATGTCTATCAACTTCGATGTGCTTTGTGCGATCATGTTGCACTGGATTGTGTGCAATGTTGATGGCAGACTTGTTGTCGCAATAGAGTTTCATAGGTCCTTCCCACTTGATTTTAAGATCATCAAGTATTATTTTGAGCCATAGCAATTCACAAACTCCATGAGCCATAGCTCTAAACTCTGCTTCCGCACTTGATCTTGCAACAACCGATTGCTTCTTACTCCTCCATGTCACTAGGTTCCCACCAAGAAATGTACAATATCCTGAAGTTGATCTACGATCTACAACAGAACCTGCATAATCAGCATCAGTATATGCCTCTATGAGCAATCCTTCATTTTTCTTGAACAAAATTCCTCTACCCGGTGTCCCTTTGAGGTAGGATAGAATTCTATTGACAGCCTGCAAGTGTTTCTCTCTTGGATCATGCATAAATTGGCTTACTACACTTACAGCAAATGCTATGTCCGGCCTTGTATGGGACAAGTATATCAGTTTCCCAACCAACCGCTGATATCTTCCCTTATCTACTGTGCTATCCTCAATGCCTAAAAAATACTTCAGCCTCCCTAGTTCTTTAATTTCAAACTCCTTTGCTAAGCACTTTTTGAGTGTTTCTCTTTCAATTGGATCATTCCCGGTGATGATGATGTCATCTACATATACAAGTAGAGCTGTAACACCTTCTTTTGAATATTTTATGAACAAAGTATGATCTCCTTGACTTTGTTTGTATTGCATTGCTAGCATCACTTTAGTAAATCTTCCGAACCAAGCCCTTGGCGATTGTTTTAATCCATATAAAGCTTTCTTTAACCTGCACACTTTCTTTTCAAAAAACATTTCATTGAAACCCGGTGGGGGTTCCATGTACACCTCTTCTTCTAAATTCCCATGTAAGAATGCATTCTTAACATCAAATTGCTGTAAACACCAACCAAAGTTAGCGGCTAAAGACAAAAGAACACGCACAGTATTCATTTTTGCAACGGGTGCAAAGGTCTCTTGGTAATCTATCCCATATGTCTGTGTATATCCTTTTGCAACCAACCGAGCTTTATGCCTTTCTAATGAACCATCAGCTCTATATTTCAAAGTAAACACCCATTTACACCCCACTGTTTTCTTTCCTTTGGGCAGGTTTACAATTTCCCAAGTCTTATTTCTCTCTAGGGCATTCATTTCCTCTTTCATAGCATGTAACCAGTTCTTATTTCTAAGTGCCTCTTGTAGTGTTTGTGGGATTGAAATGGAGTTGATGGTGGTAAGGAAAGTTTTATGTAGTGGAGAGAGTCTATGGAAAGACACGAAATTTGAGATTGGATGCTTAGTGCATTCTCGTGTTCCTTTTCGAACAGCAATAGGCAGGTCTAAATCATTAAATTCACAAGGAGCAGAGTCAGATTGAACACACAAAGGAACAGAATTTTCAGTACCTGATTGTGGTTCAGATTCTTGGATTTGCACAGGTTCAGAAATATGAACTTTCTTCCTTGAGTAGACCTTGAGTGGTGTAGTTGGATTTAAACCAGATTTTCGCTCAGCTCCAAAATCAGGGTCAATTTCTTTACTGGCATGTTCAACTTCAAATTCAGGTTCAGGTTCACTGCTAGTATGTTCTCCTTTAGAATTTGGTGTATGGTCAGGCTTGAAAGACTTTAAGTTTAGTGTAGGACTTTGAAGATCAAGGAGAAATTCCTTATCTTCCCAAGAACTCTCCCCCTGGGGATGAGGATTGTTACTTTGAGAGTAAGGTTCATTTTCAACAAATGTGACATCCATGGAGGTAAAAAATTTTTTTGAAGGAGGATGATAACACTTATATCCTTTCTTTGTGTTTGAGTATCCCACAAAAATACATTTTAAAGCTCTTGGATCAAGTTTCCCTCTTTGGTGTGCATGAACATGTACGAAAGCAACACAACCAAACACTTTTGGTGACAATGTGCAAGAGACATTAAAATCAGGGTAAAAAACAGAAAGAGCAGCAATGGGACTTTGATTATTTAGTACTTTTGAAGGTACTCTATTTATCAAATGTGCAGCAGTTAAAACAGCCTCCCCCCAAAAAGTTTTTGGAACTTTATGTTGAAACAAAATTGCTCGAGTCACATTGAGTAAATGTCTATTTTTTCGTTCAGCAATCCCATTTTGTTGGGGTGTATCTACACAAGATGACTCATGTATTATACCCTCTTTTTGGAAAAAAGATGAGAGAATTTGATTAAAATAGTCTCTTGCATTATCTGATCTTACTCTTTTAATCAAACTTCCAAATTGTGTACAAATCATTTTATGAAACATTGGAAAAATACTGCTTACTTCTGATTTTTCTTTCATAAGAAATAACCAAGTAGTTCTAGTACAATCATCAATGAATGTGACAAACCATTTTGCTCCAGAAATACTAGAAATTCTACAAGGCCCCCAAATATCAGTATGTATCAAAGAGAAAGGTCTAGTAGATCTTGTATTACTCAATGGAAATGATAGTCTATGATGCTTAGCAATTTCACATGTATCACAATGAAAACTACTAACATCTTCATTCTTGAAAAGTGAAGGAAACATGCTTTTAAGTAGAATAAAAGATGGATGACCAAGACGGAAATGATGAAGCCAAATTTCAGATTTATTATTTGAGGAGCAGGTGAGGGATAACTGATTTTTGTTCTCCTTGTTGCCACTCATCTCCTCAAGGTAATAAAGCCCATCATTCACCTTAGCAAGTCCAATCGTCCTCCCCGTAACCAAATCCTGAAAAACACAGTGAGTAGAATAGAAAATTACTCTACAGTTCAGATCTTTGGTAATTTGATGGATGGATATGAGATTGGAGGACAATTTTGGGACATGCAACACATTATTTAGGGACAAAGAATTTGATAGATTTACTGTCCCTTGGCCTGCAACAGTTATAGGAGATCCATCCGCAACAATAATTTTTCTATTTCCAGGACATGGGTTGTATGTTCTAAATCTGATTGGGCTGTGAGTCATATGGTCAGTAGCTCCTGAGTCGATGACCCAAGAGCCTAGAGAAGACATGCTTGAGACACTTAAAGCATAAGAGTTAAGGTACTTACCTGATTGAGCCAATGAACACGTACTAGAGGACTTTTCAAGGGAATTTAGGAGGTTTCTTAGCTTTTCGATTTCTTCTTTCTTGAATTCTCCCATACCAGCCTGGTTGGATTTTTCTTGTGTTTGGTCTTCTCCAGCAGTTAAGTGGACTTTTCCCCCTTGGAATCCTCCTTTACGACTAAGGACTTGTTCCTTCCCATGGAGTTTGAAGCAATCATCTCGCGTATGGCGTGATTTTTTGCAGTACGTGCACCAAATTGTGTCTTTATTTGACTTTGTAGAAATCATTGCTGAGCCTTCTAATGTTTTAGGCTCTAACATGACTTCTCGCCTATTCTCTTCAGCTCGAATCAATGATATTGTCTCATTCAGAGATGATAATCTTTCCTTCCCCAATATCTGGATTCTGACCTGATCAAATTCCACATTCAGACCTGCAAGGAAGTCATAAACTCTATCCTTTTCGATAAAGTTTTTCAAGGTGGCTGCATCTTCACTACACACCATCTGAACACACCGATATTGGTCCAGTTCCTGCCATAGATTTTGCAGAAGGTTGGCATATTGAGTAACAGAAAGGTTGCCCTGTTTAGTGGATGAGATCTTTGTTTTGATCTCATAGATTAGGGCAGCATCTCCTGCCTTTGAATAGGTCTGTCGAATAGTAGTCCATATATCTTGAGCTGTTGGTAGGAACATGCAAGTATCACTTATTTCAGGTAACATGGAGTTCCACAGCCATGACATGACCATAGAATCCTCTTCATCCCAAGCAGCGAATTTAGGATCTCCCTTTTTCGGTCCAGTTCCAAGCAAGTGGCTGATTTTGCCCTTTCCTTTGAGAAATGTTTGAACAAATTGTGACCACTTCAAATAGTTTTTCCCGTTGAGCCTGTAGGCTGCCTGGATACTCTGCAAATCCCCTGTTTGTGGAATATTTGAGGTCTCTTCTGATTTGGTATTGGAGTGGATTTCTGATGTTTCAGTTTCAGACATGGTGGAGGTTTCAAAGAAAAATTGGCAATGAAGGCCTAATGAAAAAAAAATCAGCAATGAAGGCTGGAAATTGCACTTGGCAATAAAGACTTGAAAAGAGGAAAGCACTCAGCAATGAAGGCTGACAAGAAGAGGTCCCAAGAGCAAAAGCTCTGATACCATGAACAAAAAGAAGAACTGAATTGTTCTGTCATATCTTTTGTTCTGGACTCTGTACAACATTTATACAAATGGAATTTGACTTTTGTCAATTCCATGAAATCTGTAATTTCCTAAAAATTAGGAGCTAATTTATTCTATCCTAAAATACATTAGGAGTAAATTATTCTATCCTAAAATAGAGCAGAAATCATGGGATATAGCAGAAATCATGGGATATACATAGAAAAAGATATTCTAGATTTTCAACACTTAATCATATTCAACTCCATGTCAGATTTGATTTCTTTGGATTCTTTTCAAGTGGTTTTACTTTCTTCCTTCCAGGAGGCTCGCAATATTGAAGATTTCCTAGAAAACTTTAAAGATGATCCCACTGTTAAAATTCCCGGGGTTTACCGACAGCTTTCTGGTTCACATGTCTTGGTAATGGAATGGATTGATGGGATCCGATGCACTGATCCACAGGTTTGATTGCAAATCCTTTGCAGATGTATGTTATGTTACTGTTCTTTAGAGGCTTCTTAGATATATTCAATGTTATGCAGGCTATCAAGGAGGCGGGAATTGACATAGATGGATTCTTGACTGTTGGAGTAAGTGCTGCCTTGAGACAGTTGCTGGAGTTTGGTCTATTCCATGGTGATCCACACCCAGGAAATGTTTTTGCTTTGCGTGATGGACGTATAGCATATGTCGATTTTGGGAATGTTGCTGTGCTTAGTCAGGTAATATACATATATTCTTCTGCATCTGCTTGAAATAAGAAGATGATATATGTTCTCCTGATATCAAGTAAAATGAATTGTATCACGCCTCTTTCTTCCTTTTCCAAGCATGAAAAGCATGACTTGCTATATTCAGACCGTTTAATAGCAATATGTCATCTTCAATATTGATCAACTTTCTGGTGTCTCGTAGGAATCTGAGGTGGTCTACCATTATGAATTGGATGTGGTCTACAATTGTGAAATGGATGTGGCTCTTTTGTAAAGTTTTATGTCCTTCTGTATCATTTTGCACTGTGTCCCATTACCTTTTCTTCTCAGTTCTATATCAAGTTTTGATATGGAAAAGGAATAACTCATCTATATCATCTGATGCATCTAAGATCCTTGGAAATAGTTACAACATTTCTTCCAGTTTCTTTCTTATCTCTTCTTTTCCTGGCTGCCCTCCTCTTCCCTTATTCTCACATCTTATTGCTTTGTTAATAGCAATATGTCATCTTCAATATTGATCAACTTTCTGGTGTCTCGTAGGAATCTGAGGTGGTCTACCATTATGAATTGGATGTGGTCTACAATTGTGAAATGGATGTGGCTCTTTTGTAAAGTTTTATGTCCTTCTGTATCATTTTGCACTGTGTCCCATTACCTTTTCTTCTCAGTTCTATATCAAGTTTTGATATGGAAAAGGAATAACTCATCTATATCATCTGATGCATCTAAGATCCTTGGAAATAGTTACAACATTTCTTCCAGTTTCTTTCTTATCTCTTCTTTTCCTGGCTGCCCTCCTCTTCCCTTATTCTCACATCTTATTGCTTTGTTAAAAAGTCAAAATATTTTAATGTCCTTCTGTCTTTATATGTTGGAGTGTTTCTTTGACATAGATAAATGTTTTCAGTGAACTTCTCAGCCATTCCTCCAGTGTGCAATAATAGATGCCACTGGCTACAGTTTGCAATTTAAGCCAAGTAAATGATGTAACCAACAAATGATTAATGAAAGCAAATTGGTTTTTAGTGTTCATGAGTTTTGCACACTAAGCAGCCTACCTGGGAGCTCATAGAAGTTAAGGTTTCCTGGGTTTTTCTCTATAAAAGATTGGTAATTTTGCTTTTTTTTAAAGGCTTTTGACTTCAGGTATCTTGCTTTTTGTTTACAGTGTATAGAATCATTTTAGATATCTTTTGTGCAAATTGGATCAATATCAGAGGTAGAAAGTTATATTTATTTTAAGAGTCAATGGTCATCAGGGTAGCAAAGGTTTTGCTTGTTAAAAGGTTTACTCATCTCCCTCAAGGATAGGTTGAGTTTACCTTCAATATTCTGGATGCTCCATGCCCTAAGCATTTTTATGCATAATGCAGATCATCACTTAGAATCAGCCTCCACAATAAAGTCTGAATAATTAAGATGTGTACACTTTGTTTGAGCATGAGCCAACAGTAGCTGAGATGGCCACTTTCCAACTTTGAAATTTTGTATTTTCTGTGGCAACAAATTCTAGTTATTATCATGCAACCACGAGAACCACTTAGTACGCCACCAGCCCCACTGGTTATTGGTGGTTTCATGAGCACAGATCCTTATTGATTTGAAAGTGTTTGGATTTGGAGATTTTGAACTTACTGTGGACACCACATAAAGCCTTCAAGGAGTAACTCCTCCCAACTACTGAAATCGCATGGTTATTATGATTGGTTGTAGGAAAGAATTTAGATTGTGATGTCTCTTATGCTTAAGGTGTATTTTTGCGTCTTGAAGAGAAATCTTTTGCAGTTACATGGGGTTTCTGTGCACAAAAGGAATTTGATGCAAATGTGTTAGCTGTTGCCATAAAAGGAATGCTCAGGAAGTTTGACAAATCGGAGCTTATTTTCACACGTGCAAATGGCTCTTATGAATATTTTGTTCTCAGTAATGAGGTTTGCATCTGGGAGAGCTGTGATCTTAGACGGCTATAAGTCTTTGGCAAACCGATATTACTAGCTTTCTTGATATTCCTTCCAAATCTTCAGTCTTAGAAATGAAGTCCTTGAGCATTTTGAAATATCCATGACATGCAATTAATCTTGTGAGAACTATTGTAGCTTTCAATGGTCCTTTCCGACTGCCATATAATGGATGTTTCACTGAAATGATGTGGTGATCTTAACTGAAGATAATTACTGGAAAACCTATGTCTTGCATTATCACAAACAAATTACTTGGACTCTGACTTGGGGATAGCAGGAGCTTATGGCAGTCGGAAAGGACATTAAAAGCTGCAACCTGCATATTTGGAAATCAGCTTGAACTCACTGAAACTCAATATCAGTCAATATAATTAACTATTAAGTGGTTAAACATGCTATAACTTAGATATATTGTAATTTAATATATCTTTACACATTTTTGAAGATTTTTTTTTGGGGCTTGAAATTGTAATTTTAGGAGCTTCACCATACCTGCACCAGCATGACTTCCTAAATGATTTGAAATTACCATGTCAAACTAGCTGGTCCTTGCCTAGATTTTTTTTTTTTTTTTGGGTTCTTCAGCGGTGCTGATCTACTATGTTGTGAGTGCACAGCATCCTAACTTGCTTGATTAACCAAATAATACCATTTATGCATATATTTCTTTAGTGGTTCTACATGACTCTTATCATTAAGGTTTCATTACATGTTCCTTCTGGATTTCATTTTGACCAAAGGACGGAAATTACAGTGGTGGATCTATTGTGGTACTTAGTCTAAGAAAGTTTATCATAGAACCACAGGCAGTACCGAATGGTGTCATTGACAATTTTTATACGTATCTTTCTACTGATAGAACATTTTAAGATAAAGCTCTTTTTCTGGAGCGTCCCGTTACTTGAGCTTTTACTGTCTTGTTCCATTGGTTAAAGGAGAGTATGCTTGTATAAGCTTTCTCCTTGTGAGAAAAAAGAGCACTTTCGGGAAATATATTGAGTTTCATCTTACAATTCTGTGAAAAATATCTCTCCCTTACATGCTTCTTTATCATTCCTGTATTTCTTGAATGTACAGATCAATTCTAATGCTAACCTATTATCATGTGACACAACAGCAAATCCAGCTCAATTGAGTTTAATCGAGCTCAATCACGTTCAATTGAGTTAAGCTCAGTTTTTTGGTAAATTTCATAATTATCTTACCTATAAATGTGATTTCGCGATAAATAATTTAAAATTATATTATAAATGCACTACTTGATATGGTTCATGAGTATCCGAGCTTTGGTTTCACCTAATCATACTAGATGTGAATACCTTATGAAGTAGCTCGAGCTTGACTCAAACTCGGCATTGACCAAGTTTGAGTCAAGCCTTTGACTAAGCTACTCGCAAGCCCAAGTTGAGTAGCTTGGTTAATTTACACCCCTATTTGTGTCATGTACAATTGTTCTCTGTAGAACTTTCATTCGTTTCATTGTTACCATTAGCTGAGCCTAGGGAGCTTTTTTCAATGCGTTATCCTTTTACTTTTTTCCAGCAAAACAAACAGATTTTGATAGATGCTGTCGTACATGCTGTAAATGAGGATTATGCTGAGATGGCAAACGATTTTACCAGGCTCGGTTTTCTGGCTAGTGGAACTGATGTATCCCCAATCATTCCAGCTCTTGAAGCAATTTGGCAGAATTCACTTGAAAAAGGACTTGCTGACTTCAATTTCAGAAGTGTGACAGGTATATCTTGTCTTCTATTCTGTCATGCCTTTGCGAATTGTCTCTTTGGATGTGACAAACATGCAATGAAGTACTGTTACTTTTGATGTGTACATTTCCCTGATTTGCCCACGAGATACTGTGTCAGAGTTTCAAAGGGGATTACAGGAAAGGGGCTTAAATTTATTGTTTCGATAAGTTTTATTGTATGAGACCAAGGATTCACCCAATTGCATTGGGCTACTGCTGCAGGATTAAGGTTCCTTCATTTTGAAAGGGCAAGCTTAAGCATGCTTAACTCGTCCCTCATCTCTGCAGCAGCAGAAAATATTCTGCTAAACATCCTCTTGAATTGCATGCAGATCAACGTGGTTGACCTAAAGAAACATACTTCCCATAGAGTTCCAGGTCATGAGGTTTACTAGTTTCTGCTGTTAGTCTTGATTAAAATTTGTCATCTGATGGGCGAAGCAGATGCAAGATTCCTTTTCCTAATTTAGCCTGCAGCTGGCTAAATAACTGCAAAATTATTGGTCTACTGTACCTCAATTAACCTTTTTAAACTTTTCTATTTCAATGGAACCTGGAAAAGTAGCTATATGATTTGAAATTATACTCAAACTTAATGCAATAGCAAGAATCATGTAAAATATTTGGAAAGAGACAGTCCAACGGTGAGCGATATCAATGAGTCATCTTTCTTTTTAAATGTTTTAAGCATTCTGCTGTGGTGCTTTCTTTCCTGTTACACAAGTTTTTGAAAATGTGCTAACAAATTTCATACTAAAGAAGGTTTTGTTTCTGCAGGAAAATTTAATCAATTAGTTTATAATTATCCCATCAGAATTCCAGAGAGATTTTCCCTTGTTATCCGTTCTTTGTTGACACAAGAAGGCATCTGTTTGACACTGGAGCCAGATTTCAAATTTCTTGAGGTGAGGAATATTCCTTTTCATCTACCTATTTTTTCGTAATAGTTTATGCCCAATGTTCTTGCTTCCTGTGGTTTACCGAATGTTTAATTTAATTCTATCTGGTTTGGAAACCTACACTATATCTCCCTGTGGTTTCGACTAAATTGAAAATTGGACAAAAAGCATCCAATCTAACGGTTGTACGTGAAAAGTCAATATTGCCCCTGTATAAATGATTAAATCAGGAGAAATTTTCATCATTCTTGGACTCGCAAATTGAAGATGAGAGAGAGATAGAAAAAGAGTGGAAGCAAGAAAAACCCCTAAATTCGAAATTTCCAAATTCTTTCAAGAATCAGTGTAGAATTCTAGAAAAATAGGAAGTCGATCGCAAGGAAAATTCATCCTTGTGCTTGTACTGATATCTGAAATCCCTTAGCATTCCTCCGATTCAACGATTTTCACCTTAGCATTCCTTCTGCAATTTTAACCTTAGCATTCCTTAAACGATTTTCTAAGCTAACGATTCAATGATTTTCACTCGTAATCCCTTACTGTTTCAGCTTCGATCCGAGAGAGGAGAAGCATTTGGAGACTGATTTGGAGAATACGGGGATAAGGATTTGGAATCCTTCTTCTCTCTTTCTTCAGCTTTTAATCTCCATATAGGGGTACTTTCAGCAAGTGCAGGCATCATTTTCTCTTAAATATTATTTATTGCAAGTCTAGCTCTCACCAGAAGTGTGTAACCCTCATACTGTTAGATTGGATGCTTTCCATTCAATTTTCAATTCAGTCGAAATCACAGGGAGCTAGAGTTTAGGTTTCCAAACTAGAGGGAGTTAAATTGAACATTCGGCACACCACAAGGAGTTTTTTGGTATTCTACTTGAATAATTATGTCAAGTGGATGAGGAAGTATATTAGCTTAAAGATAGTCATGGCACGACATCCTTAATTTATTTTAAGTTGTATTACATCTGGTTGACAATGTTATTTGTGCTTATAATAAAATAATAACAAATGTTATTTATCAAGTATATTTATGTTAATAACTGTGCTCACTCTGTATCTCATGGTGGAGAAGAAGTTTGATTTTTGCAAAACATGAATAAAATTTGTACTTATTGACACTTCAGTAACTAATATAATGTGCTTTTTAAGCTTTTGTACATTTGGTGGTATATAATTGTACCAAATCTGTATGGTTGTATTGTTTTATGACACATAATTCAACATTTAAGCCATTTACTTCTGTATATTTATTGAAAATGGGAAGAGACGAATGGAGCAGATCAATGCTTTATTTCATCATACTAGATGTATTTCTCAGAACTTGTCAAACTAGTAATTGAGGATTGTGTTGTGCCAGGTTGCCTATCCATATGTGGCAAAGCGCCTCTTGACTGATCCTAACCCTGCTTTACGTGAACGCCTTATTCAGGTTTGGTTTAACCTTTTGCTGTATGTTACAGCCATCTTCTAATGCACATTATTATCTTTTCTTCTATTTGATTATTGAAAGACAAAAATCCCTTATATCCATCAATTGATGCATGACCTTATGGCTGTGGACTGATATCCCTGCTTAATTGTTCCCCATATCGTTCATGTTGTGAGCTGTTGAGACTGCATCCTGTGAAATTTAATTGCTAAGTTGCTTGATACAGATGTTACGAATTTATGTTTCACCAATTCTTGATGCTTTTCTATATCATGCGGTAACAATTACAGCTGGATGTATTATTTTGTGAAATTGCGCATCCCGCTTTGTGGTTTGTTTGTGGCTCTTCTTTATTATTAATTCTCCTTAGTGCTCTTTACTGGAAGAAGGGTTACTCTTTCGAGAATCATGAAGGGAAGGAAAGAAGAAAAGATTGCTTTGACTACTACCAATGGCGTATTTTGGACACCCCAGATAATACAGTTACTGTCTGGGAAAGAATGATCTGCAATATTTTCTCAAACACTCATTTTAGTCCTCAAATGAAACAGTTTAATCCTTATTTATGTATATACCACTTCATGTAATATCTTGTGACTTTTTTAACTTGACAAAACATACTTAATCATTGGCCTGCTAATTGTCATCCATTAATTCTCATGCCCTGCCACCTGCACCTAATTTGGGCCAATGCAAATCCCATTAAAGTTCATGTTTGTTCATATTTTTATAGCCACCAAGCTATCATGTCCATGAGTTCTCTTCACTTCAGCATCATAGAAACCTGTCAAGTAGTTCATCCACCTCTCCATCTGTCAATTCATCCTGCCACACCCATCTTAGCAATCTCTCTGAAGTCAAATATAAGAATTTTCTGGAATTCATTTAACCCTCTAATGTGTTTCTTGGAAGGCATGGTTTGATGTGTCAGATAGTGAAGTGTTTCAATGCTCTTGCCTACATGTGAGACAGTGTTAGTTACTTTGTTGGATCAGGAAGGTTGAAATGTTGTTTTAGGTCTGAAAGGGAAAACTTTGCATTCTGCTTTTGCTGCTGTATCTAAGTGTATATGATGCTTGTTCCCCAGGAATTGAAGTGAGGCACTGGGATTCTTGGATATATTGGGAAATGTTGTAACAACCTTGTGAAGTTTGAGTTAAGTAAGTTTGGATGGGAACTTTTATGGTAAAAACAAAAATAAGCTTCTCATTTAGAGGAAACCAGAGTTGGGTTCATTTGCTGGTAAATTAGCTTCTTAATGATGGTACTGGGTGATTTGCTGGGACTAATAGCTTTTCTTCTTGAGCAATGATGGGCCAAAATATAAGGGTTCGTACGATTTACCATACATAAATAGGAAATGCAGCAATTGCTGAAGAAAAAATAGATTAATGGTCGTAGTTTGTTCAATCTCAAAGTTGCATTGTGTTTCTTCTCCTGTCTCCTTGCAGGAAAACAGTGCCCTGGTTGGTTTCCTTTTGAATTTTGCTAGTACTAGTTTCTCTGTGTGAAATTTTTGAAGAGGCAGATCATTTGCTTTCTCTGTCTAGCTTACCAGTTGTCTTGTTCTTCTCACCAGTGTCCCTGGCATCATATGCTGGCTATGCTGACAGCTTCTTACTGATTTTTTTCAATTTTCTTTTTTGGGGAGAACAACTTTTATTCATTCACTTCATTTTCTGAGGAAGAATTTGTTCACCTGTTTAATATCAACTAAATTACTAGTTATGTACTGACTGTGACGATCCAAATTGTCACCCTGCAAATGCAAATGGAACAAGTGGCAGCAGAAAAACAGAAGTAAATATTGGCTGTGCTAGATTGAGTACATCATGTGAACTTATGACAATATGGGAAAGTTGCTATAGGTGGTGTTGTAGTTTTATGTGTTGCAATTATTGAATACATATTTTGAAAAATTCTCCCCTAGCATGGGTTGTTACCTTTCAGTGCCTGTTTTATCTTTGTTTTATTGCATTAGAAGTGATTAAAGTAATTTAAGTGGTGGCTCCAATGAAATATGTTGCTTGCAAAACATTGCTTATGGTTTGTGTATGTTTTGATTCTTTTGTTACATCCAATGCTGAGGTTGTATGGTGATTGATTATAGAATTCTGATGGACTGTAAAATAAATAATTTTCAAGCTTTCTTTTAAGTCTGCCCTTCCCCTCATATGTTAGGTCTTGTTTAAAGACGGTGTTTTCCAGTGGAAGCGTCTTGAGAATCTAATTGTTCTAGCAAAGGAGAATGTGGCAAAGATGAGCAGCAACCCAGCACTGCGAGGAGAGAGCAGGTTTATACCATTTTTTAGCTAAAGTGCCATTTGGTCTGTTTCTTCTCTTTAGTGCTGTAAATTAACAAGTAACAGTTATCCTAAAATACTCCGTGTTTTGACATCTGTTTTCTCAGGCAAAGGTCCAAACAGTGGCGCATTGAAAGAAAGTTGGACCTTACAGACACAATAAAGGATGGAGCTAGACTTTTTCTCCTCGATGCGGGTATACGTAGACAGCTACTCCTTGCCCTAACTGAAGATTCCAAGCTTCACATTCAGGAGGTTTGTATTGGTTTTAGCATCAATGGATATCAATTTCTTCAGTTTTGTGATATTGCTTTAGTTTGACAATCATTCTTCGTTTGTAGCTTATTGATGTGTACAGATTGCTCGAGGACCAAATAGATATACCGTCTGTAGCTCTAGAAGTCGCACAAGGTAAATTTTCTTGACCTAAAATGGTTTGTGAATTTGGGTTTTGGATTCTGATGACGGAGGACTTCATCTTTTCTTAGAATCCTTCTTGAACTTGTTTCCTTGAATTTTGAACTCTTGCAGACTTACCATCTGTTGCTAGGGATGTTATGCTGTCCTGGAGTGCCTCTGTCTTGTCTGATAGGTAGTTTAGGCTACTAGCTTCCGTCTACCACAGTATATACCTATTCCCACTGAATGAAGTTAGGGCTTGGACTCCATAATTCGTAAGACGCCTTCTGTACGCTGTAAATATCCCCTTTTATGAGTTATGAGGACGTCCTATCTGCTCAGTGATTCTTAATGCCGCAAGAGTACCAATTAGTGCTCAACAGATGTTACAAAAGTCATATAGTGATAATAGATTTTGTGCAAGACATCAAGGTAGTTGGTAAATTATCTTGCACTGTCATCGCAAATACCTAAGTTCTTGCAATACTTTTAACAAAAAGTACCTTCATCAATATGTTACAATGATGAATTGTTGACTGGCCTATGCTTGTCATTAAAATTACACTCTAGGCCATTCTTTTCTTTACTTTTTTCTTTCCCCTCTTCTCAAATTTATCGCAATATCCCTCGACATTAAATAGGTGGAAAATGAGTGCTTTCAAATTCCTGCATCATAGAGTTGAAAAATGAATTAACTAATTCGTCACTCAATTTGAGTTTAATTCAATAAAAGTTTATTTGCATTTGATTTGCAAGTTGCTTGACTTGATAAAAGTTAATTTGTTTTTTAACTTGATAAAATGAGTTACAATGACCTCATTATCTGCTTAGTGATTAATGATATTGTAGGAGTACCAATTAGTACTAGACAAATGTTACCAAAGTTATATAATGATAAAAGATTCTGTGCATGAGGTGAAGGTGGTTGGTAAATTGTCTTACACTTTCATCACGAATACCTACATTCTTGCAGGTTGCCAGCAATCATATGACATTTTTAACAAGTACCTTTAGTTACAATGATGAATTGTTGGCTGGCCTATGCTTCTTGTTAAAATGACACTCAAGGCCATTCTTCCCCCTTAAACACCGCCCACCCCCCCCCCACCCCCCGGGGCGCCTCCCCAAAAAAATTTCTTAAATTTATTGCAATATCCCTCAACATTAAATGGGTGGAAAATGAGTGCTCACAAATTCCTTCCTGATAGAGTTGAAGGACGAATTAACTAATTCATCACTCAAATTGAGTTTAATTCAGTAAAAAAGTTTATTTGAATTTGGTTGGCAAGTTGCTCTGCTCGATTAAAATTCATTCGTCTTTTAACCTAATAAAATAAGTTATAATGACTTCACTATCTGTTTAGTGATTATTGATATTATAGGAATACCAATCAGTATTAGGTAGACGCTACAAATGTTATATAATGATAAAAGATTTTGTGCATGAGGTAATGGTTGGTAAATTATTTTACACTATCATCACAAATGCCTAAATTCTTGCAGTTTGCAAGCAATCATATGACATTTTCAACAAGAAGTACCTTCTGTATTTAACAATAATGAATTGTTGGCAGGCCTATACTTGTTCTTAAAATGACCCCCAAGACCATTCTTCCCCCCCACCCCCCTCCCTGATTCTCAAATTTATCGCAATATCCCTTGACATTAAATAGGTAGAAAATGAGTGCTCCCAAATTCCTTCATGTTAGAATTGAAAAATGAATTAACTTGTTACTTGAACTGAGTATAATTCAGTAAAAGTTCATTCGAGTTTGACTTGCAAGATAAAGGTTGATTTGTCTTTAGCAAAATAAATTAACAAGCCAAGCTTAAATTTAATTTAACTTGTTGAGACCCCAGGACTTAGAGGTTCTAGGTTCTAATCCCTCGTTTCTCTTGCTGCTTTTTAATTCTCACCCTCCCCCTATTTAAAAAAAATTAAACTCGTTAAAATAATTAAATAAGTTTGAATATTGAAATGTTCAACTTGATTAAACTTGTTTACACTCTTGTTCTGTGATGAATATCCCCAAAACATAATTATATTAGCAAGAGATTTGAGTAAACTTGCCATTTTCATTCTAGAACTTTTGAATCACTGGAAAAAATATTTCGATCATTTACCCGCATTATGCTTGGAATAGAAAGCAGAACTAAAGACCAACACAGGCTCACCGTTCCCCACACCAAAAAAAACCCTATGGTCGTTGTTGTGAACTTTTTAGTCTTGAAACAAAATATGGTATTCTCAACTAATCATATGCATTGAGAAGCTTGTTGGACCAATTTACTCCACTTTGTTTATGTTGAACAACAAAATTCATTGCGTTCAGAAAGAGCCTTCCTCCATCTTGTAGCGCATATAAAAACTGTAGTTTACAAAGAACCACATGGGGATCAGCACCTTAGGGTTGGGCATCCAAACACGTCGTACCCCATTTGACTAATTCGACTTGTACTTTGCTAGTCAGTCATTTTTACGGTTGAAAACAAATTTCAAAGAACCGAACAGAGTCATATTCAGGATTGGTTTGAATATTAAAAAAAAAAATGTTTGAACTTGGCTCGTGTTTGATAATTTTTTGAAAGAAATTGATCGAACTTAGTTTGAAATTTCAGATATATATATTCACAAAAATGTTTTGATTGGCTAGCTAAAATATCGAGTTCAAGCACATACAATCAAATCTTGGTTTGGTTTGAAATTTCATGCTATATCATATAGATATTTTTCACCCAAATTTGTTGTTTTTTTCCCTCAATTTTTGCTCTCAAATATTCAAGAAATCTATTACGATGAATTAGGGATGTGATTAAAATCAATTATGCCTATTCAAAAAATATATTAGGATGAATTATGAACGTGACTAAAATCATTTATGCCTATTTAAGATACAAGAGTATTATGTGCTTGCTATTTTATAAAATGAGCAATATATGAAAAGGAAAAAAATGGAATTAAAAAAGGAAACTTTAGATGTATTTTTATGAAATTTACTTGCATTATATGTTCTTGAACATATTGAATCGGATATCGTGAAAATCGTGATTTGTTTGTTAATATTTTTTATTTTAAAATCAAATTTGGGTTTTGGATTGATTCTTAAACAAATAAGTTTGAATGAGTTTGCTTTGAGATAAGTTCAAATTGAGTACCGAGCTATTTGATTCGATTTGCGACCCTAGCCATTTTCTTACCTTTTATCTGCTCCGTATATTGGCGAGTACTCGATTGTCGAATACCTGTTAAAAGTGAACAAGGCCGACAGCTACTCACTATGTCCCGCTTGTCATTTAAATTTTTTTAAATGCTTTATATTAATTTAATTTTATATCTTACATATTCATCTAAGACTCAACAAATATTTTTTTCTGAAAAAAAGTCTCATGCTGAGAAACAAACATACAAAGAGACTACAAGAAAAAGGGAAAAAAATAAAAGAATTCGAAATCAATGAAAATTAAAAAATTAGTACCCCAATTTTTAATATATACTCCACATCAATTAAACTCTTTCCTAAAAAACAAAAGATCATAATGTCTATAAACGAATCTTGTAAACAAACTATTATTTCTCACATTTGTAGTGCAATTTGTTCCATAAAATTACTTAGCTCTAAAAATATTATTTTGTAGTATGTCTATAAAAATGAAAAAATATAAAATATATATATAGCACATGTCAGGTACTCGCGGGTTCTTAACACTGTGACCTTAACTCACCTTGCATATAAGCTGGTATCTGACTCTTTTTTGATCTGATCAAATAATGCAGATCAGGTACTCTATTTTTCAGATTGAATCAGATCGAATATCTGGGATTTTTGGGTCAGCAGGTATTTTTGCCCACCTCTACAAGCTACAGCACATAATGAAAGCAGCATTTGCACAATTTGGTGCAAAAAGGCGAGTCATGTCAAGGGAATCATCTACATCAAGCAGCAGTTGTTAATGTAGAAATGAAGGAATAAGAGTTTATGATACCATGAATCACCAGGAAAAATGCATAAAGGTAAAATATGAGCAAAGCAAGATGCCGTACATTGTGCATCTCATCGGCAATTTGTTGAACTAAGGATACAAGAAAAACATGATACAACCGGTGTTGCATCAAAGAAAACAGAAATGCATGCATGACTGCTCCTACTGTAGTTAGAGATCATTCTTACAAATGCTCTTCCCTGAAAAATTTTCCTTGGCTTCAGAATTGTTGGGTATGTTCGGCAAACCATGGTAATCCTGATTGAGGACACTGCTTTGAATCAGGAATAGGAACAATAGGTCCAAGGAAAATGCGCCACAAGTCCAGTAAAATTGTAACAAGCATTGCAGCCCCCAAGGCATCAATGGCCACTCTGGGTAGGTCCCACGGATCGCCAGGTTTTTCATCAACCCTGCACACCATGATGTCTTCCCATAAGAAGAACCGAGATAAGTATCATAGAAGCAACAAGCAATTAAATTCCCGAATTCTGGCACTATATTCCAAACTTCTTAATTAGTTCTAACAACAAAACCACAAACTATTTTGGTTAAGTTCTGTTCATGTATAATATCTCATCTTTTTTCACTCTCTTCCAAGTTTTCCAAAATCATATTCACATATTGAACACAAAACACTTGCACTTAAATTTCACGAGGCAAGCTACTATCAAGGAAACAGGCCAGCTGGAATCAAGTCAAAATTGTCCACAAAGTATATGTACAAGTTACTGGAAAGAGGCCACACAAAACCATCAAATTGAAACCAAACAAATGTCATGAATCTCGAGTCTGTTGGAGAATAAGTACATATCCCTATCACCAAGTTGTGCTAGAATATTATCAAATCCATGTCTTGCAAGACTACAGTCAAGACCTGGTTGAAAGCTCCTGATCAAGGGTCAAAGATCCAAGAAAATGAATAGATGGATCTCATTTCCCACAGATAAGATCACTTATTTAAGCAATCATGTTTAAATGGTTTACACCATCAAGTCAAGACTTTGCACTTTAACATTTTTTTCATCTGATAATTTCAGGTTTATCATGCTTGGCACAATGCAGCCATCATATAGAATTGAATTCAATCTAGTATTATTCATTCCAGTAGCATTGACAAGCTAATTCTTTTCCAACGTATCATTTCTTTTTTCCAGCATGTAACTCGTACAAACGCTTTACTCCAGTAAGTTTCTTTATTTTTTGACCCAATAACTATCTAAGAGCAAGCAACCAATCATATTCTCATTTCTTGCCAAAATTCAGTCTGTGCTTGGGCATACTCTCATCCTAATTGAGGCTGCATCAAAATTTTCATTTCAAAGGCACGAACTACTTAAATGGTAGCATTCCTATTCTCCTTTTATTAATGGTCATCTATTGATTTACAATCACCAGTACTTGCCTCTACTCTTCAACAGTAATGCTGTTTAGAAATAGTAGTACTTGCCTCTACACTTCAATAGTAATGCTGAGAAATGCTTAAACCCCACTATCAAGCCCTAAGACTTAGGAAGCTAACCAAGACATCAAGATAAAAGTGATAAAATCCAATAAGTCACACAGTGACAATAAATAAAAGATAGAATCCATAATTTGC